TCAAGTATTAGTGTAAGCCTAATTCATGTCTTACAATCTTGAAAATAATATTTCCCATAATATCATACATGCTACCAATTGTATACCAACTGATATATTTTATGGCATGCAAAAAGAATTTACTTTGAGATCATCACATAATAACATCTATCCTAACAATTATAAAAGTTATATTTCATAAATTTGAAGGATAGAAAATTAATAGGTAAAGTGAAGAAAGTAGAACCCGAATTTTATGATCACTTTCTTCTTAGATCGTCACTTGTTTATCTTAGTCAGAGAAACCGCGATGCATTTGCAACATATGCAAATGAATATCACTTCCCTTGACACATTCTATGTTTCCATTGATTCCAACAGTGACGAAAATTCTGCCCAAATCTTTCGCAGTCAAAAAATGGCTCCATTGTGGATTTCTTCGAGTATGACACTCGAATCCAACGAAATTTGATCCTATGTTCTTAGTTGTTTCCATCTGATTGGAACCAAACATCAAAATTCCATGTTATGTTTGTTCCGAAGAATACATAATTGAATGTTTTGCCAGGAATTTTGTGAGAGATCGTCTTGTCCAACTTCCACCGGTTAATTGAAAGGAATCCATGTTGTCACCAGTTATTTGCAACACTTTAGTATATTGACTCTATATGGAATCTAGTTACTGTAACTATAATTTAATTCCAAAAAAAAAAAAGATGCAAATTGAGACATCAATTTAAGTCTCTTTTGCAGAAGGGCATCACGACGTCTCGGTGGTGAAAAACTTGCATAGACACTACAATGCTTCAATTTACCATTTCTTCTAGTCATGATCCCATTTCTCCTTCAAAATATAGAATATTCGGCTTCATCAGCAATAACGTGAATTTACTATGCAAAGATCTTCTCTGCCACTTACTTCTTTCTCTTATTAACCAACCAAAAATTCTAATTGAATTTTTTTTTTCTTTTCCCAAGTCTCAACAGAAATTAATAACAAAAATTCTTTAAGATTGTTGGTATTACTGTGTTCAAAATCAGAAAATCAGAGAAGCAAACAAACGTTAGTTCAATAAACAAATCGTAAAATAATTCCGAGCCCACTGAATGCACAGTGTGTCCTTAAGGAATTTAATCCCCTCACTGTTGCCCAAGGTATACGGATTAATTCCTTCCAGGATAGAATGGAATAACTATTCTGTGATAGCGGCACTTCAAATCACAGAACTTCAGCGAACTCAACAAACGGGACAAATCACATATGACACTTATGTTTATTTAGAAAATAATACAACAATGTAGAAAAGAGAGGAGAAGATTTCAGATTTTCCCTTGTCTCAAAAATGAGGCTAAGCCTCTAAATTTATAGACAAAGGAAGAATGATATGTAGAGGTGCAGTCCAAAAGGTGCCTCTTCCATTTCCCATTCACGAAAAAACGCAACAGCGACGGTAGGTTTTTCTCTTTTTGGTGCAATCTGCAAAATAGCCAGAGCAGGACCATGAGCCCGTTTGGCTTAGCTGATTTAGAATAGCTGATAAGCATTAGATGCTGAAAAGCACTTTTAAGTGCTAAAGCTGATTTAAAAAATAAGCAGTTACGTGTTTGGATAAAAGTGCTGAAATTAATAATAAGCAGCTGAAGGACTGAGTATATGAAGGGTTCTGTTTTAAAGAGAAGTATTGTAGGGATAGAATAATAAATATTTTGGTCAAACCTAAAGTGCTTACAAGCTGAAATTTGATAAGTTGGGGGAGACCAACTTATGACTTTTGGCTTATAAGCACTTTTAATTTTACCAAACGCGTAGATAAGCCAAAAAGTGCTTATAAGCCAATTTGACTAGCTTATAAGCTTAGCCAAACACCCTACATGTGTGTTACGCTGAGTGCAGCCAGTGACATCGTCCAGTGGTCCACATGTGCTCCAATTCTGTAGAAATGGCTCTAGATAGCCATTTTAAAGGTTGTTGTATAGGAATTAGCCAATGTGTCCTTAATCTCAGTTTTTTAAATTAATTTTCCGTGATAAAATATTTTTTGAAATTAAGATTTTTAGTTCAAATTTTCAGGACAAAATAAGTACTGATTAATCCCTAAATAGCACCTAAGAATGGTTGTTTGTGCACTTCCCCTTCCAATTCTTTGATCCATTATTGGGCTAATTGAGTTTTGTACATTTGGTCTTCTTATTATTGGGTCACACTGCTTTTTGGGGATTCAAGTCCAGCCCATTTTAAAATGAATGTAGCATAGCTCAATTAAATTATAGTATTAATGCTATAAGGGGTTAAATCTTTATATTGATGGTGTAAAAAATTCATTACACTATATAAAACTTAAAATATTTTTTCCTTTATATCTATACAAAAGATATTATTGGTTGTTCGTCCTAAAGCTTTCTTTATTCCTTTGGATTTTTATGATAATCAGGTTAGTTTAAGCCCGACAATCTAGGCATAGTCCATGTTGCACCTTTTATTAAAACTCAGCTACAGTACAGACAATTTAAATTACTAACACATTAAAGTTCAGAAAAGGACATTTTTTCCTGAGTTGTGCTTCGAATTTCATTCACATTTAGTTTTGGCGTTTGCATAACCATACGAGGACACATTGATTATCTTGATGGCTATTAATCTTGGGAGGTTGTCTTCTGATTAAAAAAAAAAAAAAAAAAAAACAACTTTTGGATTAAGATTAGACATGCATGCACTGCTGCAGATTTGCAGTCAGTTCTATAATTAATTTCTTATGATGTTATAATGATTGAAGTGTTCAAAAACTTTATTGATGTTAAATGAATAGCACCTAGTCATTGTTTGATGTATATATATAGTCTTTGGAGTCGTTTGGTAGGGTGTATATAAGAATAGTATTGCTAGTAATAATGAGATTAGTAATGTTTGATGTTCCTTTTATTTAAGATTAGATTGTAAATATATAGATAGGCCCCTATATTCTTTTTGTATAGTTTGGACATCATCAGATAATAAGTTTGATTTAAGAGCTTTGCTTCTAGTTTCTTCTTCTCTCCCTAGCTAAGAATAGGATTTTCTCATTACGAATTTCACTGAATTTTGACTCTAATTCCAGCTATTATCAGAAAAAGATAGGAGAAGATTATCACCACCAACTTCTCGACTTCGTTATCGCACTATCAATTCAAGCTTCCCTCTTAAAACTCAAACTGATATTTTCAACTATTAATTGTTGGATCGTAATCTCTTAGAGAGGCTTAATTAAAAATAAATTTGTGGAACAATAGGTACACATCATTACCTATATGTGGCATTATGTACTTAAAATAATGAGTTTAACCCAATTATACAATGCCTTGATTTACTAAAATGCTACTTAGCAGCTAAGTGACTGCGTGTCCCTCCCATGAGTCATTGGGGCATCTTCTTAACTTATTCTATTGCACTGATCAAAACACTAATGAGCTCTACATTTTAATAGACTTCCTAATATCAACCAAAACACAAGTGTAAGGTATGTATTAAAAAGAATTCTAATGTCACTCAAAAGGCAAGCATGAAATATATTTAAGTTTTAAAAGAAAATCTAATGCCACTCGAAATGTACCTAAAACAATATACGCATTTGAAAGCCCCGATCCCCTAATGTACTCGAAGTGTAATTAATATTTGGAACAAAAATTTACTTTAAAAAAAGTTAAAAGTAAAAGCACATTTGTGGTATATGCCCTTACGCACACATATAATAATATTACATATCTATATGGGCTTTCTAACAGGAAAACATCAACTTTGATCATATAAGTATAATCATAAATAAGTTTCCTATATATTTTCACCTTATTTAATAAGTACATTATAATCATAATAAGTTAATATAATTTGCTGTAAAATCGCGTACGGGGTAAATATTTTTTATTTCTTAACAGTTGCCTTTTGAAAGGGAACTACGAAAAGGAGGAGAAAACTGAAGACCAACAACTTTTCAGCTTTCATTATATCACTGTCGAGTCAAACTTTTTCCTCTTAAAATCCAACCTGATATCTTCAGATAATCGCTGGATCGTAATCTTTTACAAAAGCATAGGTTATTAATTAGTGCCATAATACACATCATTACCTATATATGGCATTATTTACTTAAACTAATGAGTTAGAGCCAATTAAACAATGCCCTAAATTACTTGAAATGCTACTTGACTGCGAGGGTTGACCACGTGTCCATCCTATGACTCATTAGCGCGTCCCTTTTCATTTATTCTAATGCGCCATTATCCCTAATCGGAATCCCCAGAAGCTTCGATCTCCTCTGCTTAAAATATTAAGGCTAGAGCTAATTAGTACTTAATTATGTTTAAAGTATACGGCGGAGGCTTACGCACATCAACATTTGTTACATAAACATTGGTCCATAAGCCATTTTCAAGGGGACATGCCAACAACCAAGCACTAAGTTCAAAATTTTCACGGCTTAATCCGAGGTCATTATTCCATGATTAAGAGTTTAATTTTTATGAGGTCACAAAGAATTTTTTTCACAATCAGGTCATCCAAAAAACATAACTATAAATAATCATCTATAATAAGTATGATTAGTAACCTGAAAACTAAAGCAAAATAAATTACCTATTACAACATGTTAAAATACATACTTTTTACACTATCAGTATATGTACGTTAAATCTATTGATTAACCATATGATTAAGCATGCGTTTAAATTCTGTAACGGAATTGTTAGTGCTAAATCTAAATATTTGTTAAGGAATATTTGTCTTTGCCTTTGTTGGTATGGTTCCTAATAAGATTTCCAAGGCACACTTGGTTTATAGTAATTGGTTAAGGATCAAGTTGGGTAAAACATAGGATAACACATGGCAGATATTATGAGGTAGGAAGGAATGATTTCGTAATAAAGAAGCAGAAACTGAGTTACTTTAACGTTAGTGAGATCAGATTAATGCATTAAAAAGGACGTTAAATTGACAAGGTGATGAGGCTATATATATGGTAGACGAGCCTATGATAAATTGTGTCATACAAAAAGGAGACAACATATTTACTCAGTAAGCAAGAAGATTTAGTGAATAAAGGTACTCAGCAATTATATTCATTAAACAAACAATGGTTGGAATGATGGGTTGGGGAGCTAACTCTGATCAACAAGGATGGAGGAAAGGACCATGGACTCCTGAAGAGGATAAGCTGCTCTCTGAGTACGTTAACTTGCACGGTGAGGGAAGATGGAGTTCTGTATCTCGTTGTGCAGGTTAGAATTATGTATACATTACTAGGCGTATGAAGAAATTAATGATACTTCTTTATCTTTTGAGATGTTGTTTCTAGCAAAATGTTTTTCTTTCTTTTTCTTTAAGATTTTACCTCGGGCTATGTACAGAGGCGAATTTAGGATTTGAGTTCTATGGTTTCAACCTTTAAGGTTTTAGTATTGAACTCATTTTATTCTTAAAGTTATGAGTTCACATCAAGAATTTATAACAATTTTAGTGAATCTTTGCGCATAAATTTATGCTCCGTGTCGAAAGTTAATTCAATTGAATCCATTACTATGGAGCTACATCTGCCTCTGGCTATGTAGAGACAAACTTAGAACGCTCAGAGCAAGTTCAATTGAACTCATTATTTTCAGCATAGGCCAATGACATATATGTGAAAACCCTTGAAAAGTAGAAGAATATCAAGTTTTGAATCCATAGTTTTGAAAGAACTCGGAATCTTGAATCTATTATTTAGTATAAATATTGAATCCGTCTCAGAATTTAGGATTTGGTTTTAAGTTTTTCCAATATTTATTTTGAAAATTTGGTTGTTGTTGAAGCAGGATTGAATAGGACTGGGAAGAGTTGCAGGCTAAGGTGGGTGAACTACTTGAGGCCTGGACTTAAAAGAGGTCACATAACACCTCAGGAGGAAGGCATTATTATCGAATTGCATGCCTTGTGGGGCAACAAGTAAATTCTTCTCTCTCAATTTTTAGGTTCGTTCTTCTTTAAATTGGTCTTTAATTTCCCTATTTTGGTTATTTACTTGGTATTGTAATGTGTAGATGGTCAACCATAGCACGTTATTTGCCAGGAAGGACAGACAATGAAATCAAAAATTACTGGAGGACACACTTCAAAAAGAAACAAAAAGCTTCTGCAAAACAAGACAAGAGAAAAATTCAAAGGCAAAGAAACCAACAACAACAAAATTGCACCATCGCTAACAAGTTGTCACCTAAAGCAGAAGAAGCGATCATGCAAAAGAGCGATGAACAATATGATAACGAATACCAAGACGCGGTAACGTTCACAAATTATCATCAGAATATGGATCCTGTTGTGGACTTGCCACCAGTAGTGACGACTTCTTCAGACATATCGTATGCATGGACAGACACTATTCCGATGGATGGATTATGGGGAGGATTGTGGAACCTAGATGTAGATGACAAGTGCAAAGTGGCCATCCAAAATCAACCTAATACTGCTAATTATTCTTACACAACTGATTATGCACTCAACTTATATAATGGAGGTTTTATTTTCTGAGAAATTAATTAAAGAGTGGTGCTAATGGAACTAATTAGTCAGATTTTGTTTTTTCTACTATATATGTCATTTGAAGAAGCGAAAATAGATCTGATATTATGTATGATGATTTGTACTTAAACGTCATTATTTTTGATGAATACCCAAAATAAAGATGGATATGGTTTAATTACAAAATTTAATGATGTTTTGTCTCTTAATTCTCTCTGTTGTCCAAGTCCATGTAGGTGAATGAGCTAATGAATTAGAATACAGACGAATCCAGGCTTTGATAAAATGAAAAAAAAAAAGACAGAGGGAAATTCTAATGATCAGTACTGTGCATGAAGCCCACTCATGTTTAGTTCAAAGTAAGTGGTCATTATTGTGATGAAACCATACTATTGAATAGTGTAAGGGTATAAAAGTCTTTATATATCAAAGCTGTTAGGAAGTTAGTTAATTGTTGTTAGAGAGTCGGTTAAGACTAGAGTTAGGAGTCAGGTTAAGAGCTAACAAAGGACTAAAGCTATGTAAATAAATAGGACCTCACAATGTAATGAAGACACATTTTTTCAAAGAAATAAAATAATACTTTCCTCTAACTGATCTCTGTTCTCTCTCGTCTGTTTCATCCTCTTCATCTTCTTAATTGTTCTTCATTTCCGTTATTCTGCTAAACCTTACTCACCACTGTGTGAATTATTTCATGATATCAGAACATCAAGCTAAAATCATAGCTTACATGTCGATCCAAAAATCTTTTTGTTCTTCACTACAGAAACTGCTTCAAAATCTGTCCAAATCTTGAATAAAGCAAGAAAATGGCAATAACTGATGAACCATTGGGGCAAAGTCCAGGAAATCAATTTGCAACTAAGCATGCAGCTCAATCTACAGGGAATCAAGTGAATCAAGTCAATGGGATTGATTATAATCATCTTTTATTCTTGTCTCCTGCGGATGTGAGTGAAATCCACATCATATCGTTTCAGTTGACTGGAATTGAAAATTATTCGATTTGGTTTAGATCTATGAGAGTTGCTTTGTTAGGGTGAAATAAGCTTGGTATGGTGGATGGCACATGCAAGAAAGAAAAACTCCCAGGAATTATGTGAAATCATTGGGAAATAGTAAATGCAATAGTTCTTTCTTGGATTATGAATTTTGTGGCAAAAGGTCTTCTTGGAGGGATTATGTATGCATCCAGTGCACAAACAGTCTGGGAAGATCTTGCTGAAAGATTTAACAAAGTAGATGGCTCAAGAATATTCAATCTGCATAAGGAGATAGCTACTCTATCTCAAGGCACAACTTCAGTGTCTATGTATTTCTCAAAATTGAAGGATCTACGGGAAGAGTTTGAAGCCTTGGTGCTAGCACCTAGGTGTGATTGCCCAAAATCAAGGGAGTTTGTAAACTATTTGCAGAAATTAAAGCTATATCAATTCTTGATGGGTTTAAATAACTCGTTTTCTTAAGCTAGGAGTCAAATTATGATGAGGAGTTCCACTCCTACTGTTAATCAGGCATATGCCTTAATTGTGAGTGATGAAGGACATAAATCTATTGCTGCTACATCAGAAATTTTGGGAGCCAATCCAACAGGCCAAATGGAAAGTTTTGAAGCTGCAATGTATTCTAAGACTAGAGGATATCAAAATCAAAATCAAAGATTTAGAAGAAATTTTAATGCAATACTGTGAATTTTGCAAGATGAAGGGACATAGCAAAGAAAACTGCTACAAGATAGTTGGATATCCAACAGATTTCAAGACCAAAAGAAGGGGAAATGGAAATACAAATACAAATGTAGCTTATAATGTCAATCTCCTAACAGAAAAGAGTAATTCTGGGTACAATTCAACTCATCAAGATCAACAACAAGGGCCTACATTCAACTATGAAAGAAATACAATTGTGAGTGAGCAAATTACTGGAATTGGATCTAACAACTCAAACACTGAAAATTTGGGAAATTATGCACTTACCAAGAATCAGTATGAGCAGATCCTTCAGCTACTGAACAAAACCATTGTGCCAAATAACACTGCCTCATCAGCAAATACAGCGGGTATAGACACAATTTTACTTGTTACTGACTGTATTAGAGAATGGATCATAGATACAGGGGTCGCAAATCACATGGTTTCAGATATAAATTTGCTAAAGAAAGAAACAGTTGCTGAAACAGAAAATTCAAAGAAAATTTTATTACCTAATGGTGATATTACAGTAGTCACTCATACAGAATCCAGCTCAATTTTGGAAGATAACATAATAATAAATGTGTTTTATGTTCCTCAATTAAAGTATAATATACTATCTGTCTCTAAACTAACCAAAGAATTGCAGTGCTCGGCTACATTCTTCTCTGACTTTTGTGTGTTTTAGAAACTCTTTCACTGGGAAGGTGAAGGAGATTGGTAAGGAAGATAGTGGACTTTATCTACTGTATACTTGTATACGGTCAAAATTAGAGGCCTCCGATTTCTAGGCTCGAGGGTTCGTCTCGAGCCCGAGTTTGGGCAAGGTCGAGTTCGAGCCCGATGGATCAGATCCGAGCTTGAAGGTAGGATGCAATGACCAAAGATCAAAGTACAATGGACGGCGAAGCCGAGTGTGCTCGACCCCGAGATAGTACCGTTATGGACTTGTAACAGAATGGGCTAGATTCCTGCCACGTCCCCAAGATCATGGCGCAAATCCCGGAGTATGATTGTACGATTCTGTACTAGGCGGTTAGACAGTTGTACCTAGAATATTCTTTACTGTAAATAGAAATATACCTTATTTAGGGTTCCTCTATTATATAAAGGGGACCCCAATCATTTGTAATATCATCTGATGATTGGCAAGAATATACTATCCTACTTTTCCCTCTTACTGTTCATCAGAATTATCTTTTAGCTCTACTGCTCTTACTTTACTTTTGCTACTTGATTGTTCTTATTGCTCTGAACCTACCTCGAGGTCACCAAGCTCGAGGCCACCGCTGCTGAGCAACTTTGGTTAGATTCACTTATTTCTTTCATTTCTACTTCATATTTCTTGATTATTAATTGGTATTGAATCTAATCACATATCTTTAAAATCACAAATCAAATTTAGTTGTTACTCGTATTTTCGAGGTAAACAGTTTGGTGCCCACCTTGGGGCTAAATATAATAGTGATTGTTTCTTTACTAATTCTCATTACACACGTTATTTTTACACTTTTTCTTGTCAAGAATTTTTTATTCTTAGGCTGAAACATGTCTAGCTCACAAAATGCACCTGTTCATAACAACGAAGGTCTTGGTGAAAACAACAATATAGTGGTCGGTGTACCACCGATAAATCCTTGGGAAGTGCCAAACATTGAACCAGTTGATATTAGTTCACATATTGCTCTAAACGCGAATTTAGGCACAGACCCCGGAGAGAGTGTAAGCAGGGAAGCCCGACCTAGTGGCCAAGGAACACAAGGAGTAGGTGATGGGGGAATAAGCCTCCAAGTGATATTCGAGATGCTGCAAGCTCAACAGATCGCCATTGCTCAACTGTAAAGTCAAAATAAGACTCCGAGTGTAGCTGAACATAAAAACAATCGACGTGCTGAGCCAATGCCAGAAAGGTCAAATGGAAACGACTCGGGGACTGACCCCACGATTATGAAGTTTCTCGAGGAGCTCATTAAGAGGATCGAGTCCGGAGTAAAGAAAATTGAAGACAATGATAAGAAGGTGGAGACTTATAACTCCCGTGTAGACCAAATACCGGAGGCACCTCCAGTTTTGAAAGGTTTAGACGCCAAAAAGTTCATATAGAAACCATTCCCTCAGAGCGCGGCTCTGATGCCCATTCCCAAGAAGTTTAGCATGCCTGATATACCCAAATATAATGGGACAACCGACCCTAACGAGCATATTACTTCATACACTTTCGGGATCAAAGGAAGTGATTTGAATGACGTCGAGATTGAATCAGTCTTGTTGAAAAAGTTCGGAGAAACATTGTCGAAAGGAGCCATGATCTGGTATCACAACTTACCTCCTAACTCTATGGACTCATTTGCTATGTTAGCAGGCGCCTTCGTGAAAGCGCACGCCGGGGCCATAAAGGTGGCCACGAGAAAATCAGACGTATTCAAGATAAAACAAAGGAACGATGAGATGTTGAGGGAGTTTGTGTCCAGGTTTCAGATAGAAAGAATGGAATTACCACCGGTCTCTGATGACTGGGCAGTTTAGGCCTTTCATGCAGGGATTGAATGAACGGAGCTCGATTGCATCTCGATAATTAACGCAGAACTTGATTGAGTATGTAGCTGTGACGTGGTCAGATGTGCACAACCGTTATCAATCAAAAATTAGGGCCGAGGACGACCAGTTGGGAGCCCACTCGGGTTCATTTCATCCTAAAAGGTTTGCGGCCAAGCCCCCGAGGGATATGAACAGAGAATCGAGATCGAACAGGGAACGGTATCAGCCGTATGTCGATCGAAGGAACAACGGTTCAGGTCGGAACGCTCCTCGGAACGATCGGAGAGACAATCAAGGTCAAAGTTCTCGGGGACTCATGAGTAAAAGCGGATTCGATAAGCATACCGATCCCGCAGAGACACCTCGATTATCGGAGTACAACTTCAGCGTAGATGCATCAGGGTTTGTGCCAGCTACTGGAAGAATCAAAGACACCAAGTGGCACAGGCCTGTACAGACCGATCCTTCTCAAAGAAACCCGAACTTGATGTGCAAGTATCATGGCACACATGGTCATAGAACAGAAGATTGGAGGCAGCTTAGGGAATAGGTGGATCGGTTGTTCAACGAGGGTCATCTACGAGAATTCCTCAGTGATCGAGCTAAAAACCACTTCAGGGAAATAAATGCAAGGAAAAATGAGCAAGAAGAACCACAACATGTAATCCACATGATTATTGGAGGAGTCGATGTCCCTCAACAACCTGTGTTCAAACGCACCAAGGTATCAATTACCAGAGAAAAGCGGACTCGGAGCTATGTAGCCGAGGACGCCTTATCGTTCTATGACGAAGAAGCAGAAGGCATATCTCAGCCGCACAACGACGCCCTGGTAATCTCTATCCTTTT